AGGAAGAGCTCAGGGGGCTGAGAATTGAAACTGGGACCTTTTTGATCTGGGTCCAGGCACAACAGTGGGGGATGCTGTGCCGAACACAAGGCTCCCCAGTTTTCAGGGCCACTGTGCCCTGGCACTGCAAAGCCCAGGTATCTCCATCTGCATTTCCTCTGGTCGCCAGCCCTGAGGGCACAGCCTTCCTGAGCCCTAAGTGAGGGTCAGGGCTCCCCCTGATGGCACCACACCTTCATCGCAGGGCCCAAAGCCCATCCCAAAGATGGGGTTGATGAGCACTTGATCTGCCTGTCTGGGCTTCAGAGCCAGGTCACCCGACCCCTGCCGGTGAAGTGCCGCAGGTCTCCTGCCCCGGGAAGAAGTTTTTAACCTGTAGTGGGAACAGTGTGGATGCTCAGTCAGTGGGAGGGTGTGTCAGAAGAGAACTATCCGGCCTGTGATCCCAGCACTCTGGAAGGCTGATGGAGGGAGACCGCAAGTTTGGGCCCAGCCCAAATTTGCAAGATTGTACTCAAAATTAAAACAAGATTTTTTATTTTATTTTTTTTGGTACCAGGGATTGAACTTGGGTCCTTGTGCTTGCAAGGCAGGCCACCGAACCGCTGAGCTAAATCCCCAGCTAAAACAAGAACTTTTAAATGGCACAGGATATATCTCAGTGCAAAGGTCCTGGGCTGAACCCCCAGTATCACAAAGCAAAACAAAACAAAACAATACCAAAAATAAAAATACCTCCAGTGCTCTTAGCACTGCACTGAGTGGATAAGAAATCACATGCGGGGACCCTCTCACAAGGGAGGAGCTCAGGAGCCCCCCACTTTCCTTTAGGAGGACCTACACGCTGAGCTAGAGCCACACCATGAAAGATGCCTCCGGCAGTCCCTTGATTAGAGCCCCAGAGAGCACTCAGGGCTGAGGAGCGGTCAGATGAGCGCTGGCCTGAGCAGGCTCAAGAGGAGACCAGGGGGAGCCAGCTAAAAAGGAGGGTTCCCTTCCCCGCTTTTCCTGGCCTTCCTCCAGCCAGCCTTCCATGCGCTGCAGAGAGGACCGGTGTAGGCCAAGGGCGGAGACCTCCCCCAACACCACAAGCCCCTCACGCAGGTGCCCTGGACCTCATGGGCAGCAGAGAGGGTGTGTGGGGACAGGGGGCGCGAGACCACCACCCCACTGGCCAGGATGCCCGGTGTTCCCTAAATGTCTGAGCAGGTGGGCTGCCTCTCCGCCTCCCTGCACTCACCACGTGGCCAGCTGGTGGCCAGGGGCGGGTCCACCCTGCAGCTGCATGTGCCCCTCCCACTGGCCAGCTGAGCTGGGGACAGATGTGTCCCTGCTGCCACCTCCCGAGGGGGGTAGACAGGGCACCTTTCTGGGGTTGGGCCTGCCCCCCATGACCTGTGTCCTCCTAGCCACGCCAAGGGGGACACCCTGAGCTGCATCCCTGCTCCAGAGTGCACAGGGAACAGGCACACAGGCTTTGCCGTGGGGGTGACAGCGGGTCCACCTGCTCCCTGCAGTGGACACCAGGGCTCCCCGTGCTTCTCTAAGTTGGGAATATCATGCCCCACAGACTGGGGTCATTCCCTCAGAGCCCGAGCTGGGAAACTCAAGGTCAAGGAGTGGGCAGGCTGGGTCCCTCAGGGACTCTGGACCCATCCTCCCTGGCCTCCCCTGCTCTGGCATGGCGGGGAATCCTTGGTGTCCCTGGGCTTGTGGCTGAAGATGTCAACCTTGCCTCTGTCCCTGTGTGGCCTCTCTTCAAGTCTCAGCTTTCACATGGCCGCTCTTTCTCCACGTGGTGGCCCATACTTGTAAGCTCAGCACTTAGGAAGCTGAGGCAAAAGGATTGCCATAAGTTTGAGACCAGCCTGGGCTACACAGTGAGACCTTGTCTCAAAACAAAAACAAAAAAACCATGATTGTACGGGATCAGGGCTGATGCTCTGACCTCATCTTAACTTGATTATATCTTCAGAGACCCTATTTCCAAATGAGGTCCTATTTGCAAGAGGCTGGAGGGGATTAGAGCCAGAACATCTCTTTTTGGGGGGAGGCACAAGTCAGCCACAACAGGGGAAACACTGGGTTTTGGGGAAACTGGGGACAGAGCCAGAAGCTATGAGTCCCAGGTGTGAACTTTCTTTCAAGTCCTAAATTGTATTTACTTATTTATCCACTTATTTTTGAGACAGGGTCTGGCTTTGAGTTCACTATGTAGCCTAGGCTGTCCTCAAACTTACAGTGATCCTCCTGCCTCAGCCTCCCAAGTGTTGGGACTACAGGTGTGCCCCACCATGCCTGGCCATTTGTAAGTTTTATCAGGGGAATTTACATCCGGGTTTGGAAAGTAGAAACCAATGTCAGTTTCCATAAAGCCCAATGAGGCAAGGGTATTTCCCAGAGGTGGAAACTGTGGCTTACAGATGTTAATGATGGGCTGGAGTCACACCCCATTAGGTAGGGCGACTGGACCAGAATAGAGTTTTCTTGCTCGTTGACCAGGTTTTTCTACTGTAAGCAATGATGAGGGAAGATGGGTGAAGGAAAAACAAAACATACCTCTCACATCCCAAATTTGAGAAAGATTCTTTTGAGGAAGAAAGATTTTGGTGTCTGCTGTGAAAATCAGTTATATGAATTCTGAAACATAAATGGAGTCGGCCAGAGGGCAGGACGCTAGAATTTTCACTAAGATAAAAAGAAACCCACCCGGGCCACATTAAAACTGAACACTCACACCCAAGTCAGAATCGCCAGGGAGGGCGGTGCAGTCCCGGTCCTTCCTCAGTGAATACGAGGACGGACAGTCAATTGCTTTGTGAGTCCTTCTCTCCTGTTGTGCAAACATCACTGTCACAACTAAACAGCGCTCATGTCCCCACGACATCCTATACGTGGTCCGGCACCGACCATCGCCAGGCCCTGCGTGGCCGTGTTTGACGGTTCTGCCTGTTATTTGGAGGTCATTTGAACGGTCCTTTTTTCTTTACCGAGAGTGGTTCCCAGCCCCTAGTACCGGCGTCTCTAGGCGAAATTACTAATGTCAAATAATTAGGGAGGCGGCGCGCTGCCCACCCACCCACCCCTCCTGGTGGCCAGCACTCACTGGCACCTGAACTGTCACCAGGAGATGTGTCAGTCACTGCGTGGCATCGCCTTTGCCCCAACAAGCTCGAACACGGACAACCAACAACCGTAGAAAGAAGAGT